TAATATCTGCAGTAAAGACAGTTTAAATATCACTACATTAGCATCACACCTGATACCCCAAACCCCAACTAAATTAAAGATTGTGCATGTTAAATTTACTGTTTACTTTAAAACAATAAGAAATTCATAGTTTATTTTCCAGCATCATTATATTTGATGTGTATTAGGCCTCCAAATTGTGACAAGCCTTTAAATTTGTTTTAATTTCATGAGTTAAATGCATTTAAACCAACCAACTTTTTACCCACTAGAAAAACCAAAATGCCTCAGAGTGCAGCATAATGGCTGATTATCAATTTCCAGTTTAAGACAAATTCAGCACAACCTGAATGCAAGCTAGAGCCTGCCCAGGAGCATTTTCATCATGAGAACATCAGTAAGTACACAAATGTCATGCTGAGCTTGACAGCTTACTACTCAACTTCACTAACTTCACATGCAGCAACTGCAAAATGAAGCCTGTGTGGCCATTTCCACAAAAGAGAGAGATGGTCCCAAAAAGAGGAAGAGTGCCCCCACCCCACCCCCCTCATGTAAATCATTGCTTGCGGCTTGACTAATATCAGGTACATCGATGTTGCCTGAGGGCCCTGCTGTTTGGGCTGAAGCCCCACCCACTAGTGAGACAACACCTCAGAGAGAGGAACTCACCACACAACTAACATCACACATATTCACCATCACACACATTCACTAACGCACTCTGAGCTCTTAGCACACACTGAAGTGGGCGTCCGGACCAGATACTGACGCTGAACTGGGGAGCAGTTCTCTGCAGGCCGGGCACTCAGGGAAGACACTGTTGCTTCAACTAGAGCAGGTAATGTTTTTTCTATTTTTCTCCTTTATTAATTAACAAGGAAGCAGCATTAGGTTATAATTACTTATTTACAGCACTGAAAGCCTGTCTGTGTTATTGGATAAGACTGTTAGTGATTTCCAGTGGTGCTGATCGCTAGTTTGTAGGTTGTATTTATGGGCAGGTAAAAGCTATGTGTGCACCTGTTACCTGTGGAGCTCAATTAGCCTCTGCTCAGATCATAGTGACGGATGCACAGGTAAATACCTGGCCTTTGCAGAAAGCCTTCTAAACAAATCTAAAATACTTCTTTCGATAACGTAGACTTCTTTCAACAATTTTACAGCATATTTAAAGTGGTCTGTAAATTTAAAAAAAAAAAAACACATGAGCATATAGGATCTAAATGTACTATTAAAAAAAAAAAGCAAAGAGAAAAGGTTGTGACTGAATTATATTCACAGTGGTAAAAAAGGATTTTCGAATGAATGTCCGTTCTTAAGAAGGGAGTGGCTTCGTGTGCTGCTACAGTTGGACAGAAACTTGAGTGACAACTTCTTGCGACAGCACATGACAAGCAGGTTCCTCCATGCACGCCCTGCAACGCTGAACTCACAGCTTTAGGTGATGTTTCACCGGTGAAAGGTGACGCTGAAGTTTCAGATGCAACCTACAGCCCAGTTTCACCACTACTAAGGAAAAATGATCAATTTCTTCCGATACTCGTGTATCTCCAGAGCCGGTGAGCTCATCAAAAGATGAATTCATCCTGCAGGTGTAGTCATGGGAAGCAGGTGGCTGGTGGTTCCCACGCCGACAGCACTGAGTTTAGTAAGGCTGAGAGAGAAAGCAAGTCTCTGCATGCCCTCCAGGTCTGTGCTAGTGAGTGTGTAGTCTGCCTTCCGGGTGCCTTAGCAGTTCTCGAACTTTAAAAAACAGATGAGTCAAGCGATATCAAAACGTACAACAGGTGAACAGGCAGACAAAGTGGAAGCGTTTGTAGGCTGCTGTCAATCAAGCAAAACCAAATGAAGACACGACTACACCTATGCAAACATGCGGGTGCATTTTTGCATACAGTAGACAGGTTTTCATATTTAACTATTTCTCTGTTTGGTGTCCAGGCTGCTGTGAAGTAGCAGTGGCAGAAATACATTAGCCTGAGGGTGCAGTGTTTTGTGGAGCTAGAGATTTTTCAGGCCAAGTGGCGAACAAACACTCTGACAGAAATTACAAACATTCTCCACCTGAACCAGTCCAACGACTCCTTTAGCTTCACCCCATTGAGAATCAGGTACAAAGCCTGTCAAGAATCAGAGATTGTCTTATGTGTTATAGCATCATAGTCCTTGAGAGGTACTAATTGCTCAACTGCAAATGTGCCACATTCTTCTTTCAGAAAACCTGCATTCGGAACAAGATGGAAATTGCTCAGGAACGCAAGCCAAAAAGGCCCCACTACATTCCCCGACCGCCAGGCAAGCCATTCAAGTACCAGTGTTTCCAGTGTCCCTTCACCTGCAACGAAAAGTCTCATCTCTTTAACCACATGAAATACAACCTGTGTAAAAACTCAATCTCCCTGATGGCACAGAAAAACGGGCAAACAGCCCGGCAGATCAAGGCTGTGGCGAGGGTGGCCCCTGCCAAATCGAAGGATTGTACAAACTTTCCTACGGCAGTTCAGAACAACAGTCCTGAGAAACAGAGTGATGAAGAGAGCAAAGCAGAGAGCGGCGAAGACAAAGAAGAAGTAGATGTTGGGTGTGACAGCGAAGTCATCAAGGACAGTCAGAGTGTGACAAAACCAAATGCGGAGACGGAGACAGAAAACAGGGAGAGCACTGAGAATAAAGATCTGCCGCGCCCATCTGCCTTCTCCCCTGTCACACCCAAAAATGAAGGAGCAGAAGCCTTCAAGTCATCTGTGCAGCAGACAGAGGATTCGCGAGCTCCTCATCCTACTTTCAACCACCCAGGCTTCCCATGGGGCCCAATGTCATCGTCCATACCCTTAAAACTGTTCCCCCCTCTCGTGGTTCCTGAATACCCACCTTACCTCTTGCCTGACCGACCCCTGTATCCACCATATTACCTCCCAGGAAGTCCCCATGTGAATGAGCCAAACTCTCCCCCTTTCCAGCAAGACTTTCTGGACCCCCAGAGGCCTATGGTACAACAGCCCATTGCCCCATCTCACACTGCCCCATATCCCCCTTACCCATACAGATATTGCCATACTATTCCCCCTGGGCCCCCGCTGCACTACAACCTGTACAGACCCCATGAGCTTTCCATGCCCATTACAGGACCCAGATATCTTCCTTTGGATTTGTACGGCCCAACCCTGGGCTCCAAGGATTATGACTTGTACATGCATTCACGTTCCATTCACAACCGCCCGCCCACGTCTGCACAAGAGGAGAGCCACCACGAGCAGAGTGGAGACAAAGCAACACGGCTGAGCCCTAAAGCGGGCTGTTCGGCTATGGGGTCCCCTGACAGACCCAGTCAAGCACACATCGTCCAGAGAGACACACAGGCCCCCGAGTGCACCAACATGGGTGAGCCGCACAGCGCTACCCAACTCGGACACACAGCTACAGCCGGGCAACCCACCAAAAATGACTTAAGACAAGAGGAGTCTGCAGAAACCTTGCTGCAGTTAAGAGCTCAGCATGTGGATGGAGGGTAAGCATTTTGTATTTTTTTTCTTTTTTTTTTAATTAAGCAAGACTGTTTTGTATTTGCAATTTTAGCATGGTTGTGAATCTAACTTTTTGTTTTGGTCTGTCTCTTTCAGACTGGCTGAGAATGGACAATACTCTTCCATGTCTGTATCCGAGTCATGTCCCGAAACTGCATCAGAACAAGATGACATGGAAGACACAGACAACCTGGCCCCCCTCAACCTCTCAACAAGAAACCAGGACAAGGGAAAAATTCATTCTGATCACAGTCCAGGGTGCTCAGACACAGTGAATGTAACGGAGAATGAGCTGCCTCTGAACCTCAGCCTTCGAGCTTCTCACGGCAGCCCTGTGCACAGCTGTGCCCTGAGCGCTTCGGAGGATCTCCAGCAGAGATCTGCAGAAGAGCTGGACGAAGAGCCCTGTGACCAGAGGCAGACTGCAGCTCTGGCACTCTGTCAGCTAGCCATTGCGAGCTCTGCAGTTTCTTCACGTGACTTCAGTGCTGTAGACAGCTCCTTAAAAGCTTCCAGGGTTGCTGCAAGTCCCTGCTCTCCAAAGAATATAAAGCAAAGCACCAGAGCTAAGGCAACGGGCATGAAAAGAACAAACAGTAGTCAGGTTGAAAGCAAATGCCATAAACCAAACAAGAGAGTGAAAGCAGCAGGGCGGGCTGTAAGGAGAAGGCCTCGCTGCTGCTAACAACTAAAGTTTCACTGTCAAGGACTGAATATCTCAAAATCTTCACCACTGCAACTATCAATGTTAAAAAAGTTTTGATTGTTTTGATTAAGCACTGAAAGATTTGATTATGTGTTTTTGAAAATGTGGTAAATGCAAATATCGCTTGTCACAGTTCTGTGCATATATGTCTAGTTCTCAAACTTGATTGGAAAAGATGAAAAGCAAATTTAATAAGTGTTTTTAATATTTAAACTCAGATATGTCTGTAATATAAAAAGTTCCTCATGTAAGATGTACTGTACTGTATGGAAGATGTACTGTAAATATAAATATAGAAAGATGTTGAATAAAGAAATAACAAAATAACTTTCTCACAATAGTCCATGTGTTGCATAATGACTATTAAATCCACATGTCTATTCACATACCATCTGTCAATCTGGAAGGCAGCAGCAGTCCTCTCCTACCCAGCTCTGCCAGAGCAAGGCAGCCTCCGTGCCAAGCATTGTCCGTTTCCTGGAAGCTTGACAGAAAACACAACAGGTCAAAACATAGAACATGTTTGTGGAATAGGGGCCAAAATGAAAGATTTTTCCCTGTATGACTGGTATCTTCAGAAATGATAAATGGCATTGTGTTACTGATGGGGAGAGCCAGTATGCCCCGAGCATGAACCTACCTGAAGCAGTCCAGCACTGATCCAACCACCTCATCTGCCAGCTCCTTGGGAAGCCTCCCAGTTACCCTCCCTATGCTGAAGGGTTCAACAACATAGGTTATTGTAACACATTCAGAGGAACTGCTTTTGATATAAAGAATACCAAAGACAAGTAGCAACAAGGACAATATTGTTGTCAACAGTTCAGGTATGCTAAATGTCACATCAGCCGTGCATTACCCCTTTGCTGCAGACCAGCGCACAATTGTTTCCTTATCTTTTAGTCCCACCAGCAGATTCTCTGTAAAGTAACACGCAAATTCGATTTTTTTTTTCGGAGACATTAGTATTATAATAACAAATGCTTTAAAACGAGTGGAGTGCAGAAACTAACCAATAACAGTCTCTACTTCTTCAGGAATGTCATAGTCCTCCTGTTCTTGTGTCTCCACTTCAGGAGTGACAGCAGCGCTGGCTGCAGCAGACTGGGACATGGACAGGTTGGCTGCCAGGGAGCGGCTGCCTCTCTGGTACCTGAAAGACAAACATTTTTTAAACCACTTAGTTCTGTACTCCTGTCCAATCCTGTCGTGTCTCACTGAGGACAACACAATTTAAAGTGACATATATGACAATATTAACAATGAAAAACCAGCTGGAAAGAGCCTGATACCACATATTCTTCAACTGAACACGAGTTACTTTTTGGAGTATTAACCATATGATTTACATGGAAGGGAGCAGTCTGTTTAGATGTAATAAAGTTAAGTTTTATGCAAACAAACAATAAATGTGTTATTGCATTTGGGCTTACTGCATTTTTGGTGGGATACATAATATATATAAACAATAATAAATCATTTGGTGGTAATATTTTTCACCTCCAAGCAGCCAAGCGTGGCTTCAGGAAGGTGAGGCCGAGCCTCTGGATTAGTTTGACACCGAGCTTCCTCAACATGGCCTCGCTGCTCTCTGAGAGATTCTTCTTCTCCAGACACTGCAGAACTGTAGGAGCTGGTAAAGCACACATGAAGACATAATGATTACAATTTTTACATCCACACTGCAAAGAAAGTGTCATGTTTAGCCACAGATGTGCATTGGATAGCATGCCATAGAAACTCATAGATTATAATCCGATATGAGGATGTTCTGTCATTATGCACAAATAGAGAAATTCCTCCCCTGTGGCAAAGTACATTTAGATAAAGAAGACATATTTATGTTGCCATGGACAAATGCAACTGAACACAGGCTACAAATGTGATAATCACACACTCTAATAATGCCAGCTGGGGAACGTACTGTTTTTGTTTTGACCTCAGCATGGACATTACTAGACTAAAGATGAATATACCAGAGAAAAGGGAACCTACCATACTGTAGGAGGTCATCTCTTTTTCCATGTTTGAAAAGCTTCGCCTATAAGACATTAATAAAATTATCAAATGGATTGAAGGTACTGCAGAGGACAGGTGACAGTAGTAGCATCTAGGAATGAAACAAGGCCAAGGAAATACAAACATTACTTTTAGAAACCCTATTCAAAGTAACTAATTACTTGCCAGGTTTTTTTCTTCTTTACATCATGCGATCGTCATTTTAAACAAAAAAACAATACGGGGTCTGAAGCCTCGGTGACTGAACAGACAGTGCCAGTTTTGAACGCCCTAAGCAACGCCTAGGCTTAAGGTTCATTTCACAGACACCAAGTACAACATGATGCTCTCTAAACATGTTATGCTGGTTTATGTGCCAGTGATATGAATGTAATGTACTTGCTCAGGGGCCTGCAGTAGATTACCTTAGACTACATAAATGACTTGAAAAAAAAAACCTCCATTATTTATAAATGATTGCAGTGAGGTGGAATGTAAGCGTCACTGGGTTGGAAAAGTGGATTTCATCGAAACCAAGCCCCCTCAGCACCGTTCTCATTTGATGAAAAACCGTTTACCTTTAAGCAGTGGATTAAACTGACATAAGTCACTTGAAGCAACAGATCCCACACACGCAGCAGGTGCATTACACACCTGCTAAAACCACACTGAGTATTGTGTGAAACATACCAGTCATGTCAGCTCTTGTAAATTATCCTCTGCAGGTTTTGCTCACAAAGTGCTCACAAATTAGACTGTCGTCAAACCCACAGGCAGACAGGCGTGCACACAAAGCCGCAGGCTCGAGTGTGTTTATTTACCAGAGACTGCAGAACACCGTCCAGCACCTTAATGTCTCTTATTGAGTGGTCATTGGTCTGGGATACGGTGGTGAGAGTCCAGTCCAGAAAGTCTCCGAGGCGCTTCTGTTTCACATCAGGGCGTGTCATAAACCTGTACAGTCATGTTCCATAAGACAAGAAAGCAATAAAAGGCTTTATATGGATTAACACCAGCAAAGACACTCAAAGAGCAGTGTTGCCCCCTATTGGCAAGAATACTAATAACATACACATGAATAACTAATATTTGTGTTTATTTACAGCAAGTATCCATGTTAAATAGCTGTTTCGATTACACTCAGTGTTTTGTGATTTTTATAATTAAATATGTAGTCGTTAAAGACATACATTTGGTCTTTGGATGAGCAACAAGATCTGTTATTGGACCAAACACACTGTTGATTTGTTTAGCTATTATAGGTTTCATGGTAATTAAACACAATCAGTACAGCAAAATGTGAAGGTGAAAAATTACAAACATTATAATCCTGTTTTCAGTTTCACTTTGAAATGGTAAATAATGTAAATCTTTCAGACGATGAATATTTGAAAAAGGTAAGAGTTTACACCAGTTTATTTAATGTCACGTTTTAGTTATTTATTTGTTCTCTTAAAATCAGCTCCAGGACTGAGGACTACTTGTGACACATATCATGGTCATAAGTTCACTGTGAGCTCTCCACTCTAGTAATTTACTATTGTATTCACTGATGTAGAAAACAACGGCACTGCAACTAATTTATGAAAAAGCTGGTAATTTTCAAAATCAGGTTTTTTAATACCTTTCTCAGACCTACGGACAATGAATACCATTTCCACTGTAGAATGACCAGGGACAATATTACTAATCTGACATGCATTTGCACAAAAAACAAACTTCATATATAAAATTAGCATTATATAATAAATATTTAACACTATGAATTTCGTCTACCCTTGTGTAGTATTCGAAACAAAACCATAGATAATCAATTCTGGTAGCTTTTAATTAGTTTTCCTCAAACATTTCTTGACATGCAACATGCAATACAATATTATTACATGCTGAGTCCAAGTACACAGTATTGATATTTCTGTCAAAACCCCCACCACTGGATTTTCCCCTGAGCACTAAAACATTCATGTACAGCCCTGCACACAGCTTCCTACATTTTATACACGTGCACCTACTCAGGTAACCCCCCTCTTTCTCTGAAAACCAGTTCTCATCTCTTTTTCTTTTATCCATCCTGAAAAAAAACAAGACTTATTTAGCCATTAGTACTGGCTTCAGCACTTCCGAACATATTAGTAGTAACCTGTTGTCCATATTAGCAGACTTGAATGGAAGAAGCTTTTATCAAATATGTGAGAAGCACCTTGAAAAGCCGCCAGCAGAGTAACAATATAAACTGTTGTCATTAATTTGCTTCCTGAATGCTGCTACACCTGCCTTGTGAAAGCAGGTGGCGGCCTGTGGACAACTGGACCAACTAGGCCAGCCCTTATATTACAAAAAGGTGAAAAAATAAACTCAGCCAAAACTGAAAAATTGCTCTTATATTTGAATATGCAACATTTTACAATGTGAACAGATTCTCAATATTGTATGGCTTTAAATTTTAGTACAAATTTGTACAGCCTTTTATAGTTTCTAGAGTGTCTTTAGAGTGTTTACAGAGAACTATCTTGATATTTTCCTCATTTCCAGCATTTCCATGCCCATCTATGTCCATCATCACATCCCTTGAAAGAAACCGAGGTTTTGATAGTAGTGACCGGATCAAAAGACTGAATTTGAGTTCATATTATTCTATCAACATCTTGCATCTCACTGCTGTGGGCTGGAGTGTAGGAAATTTAGTGGTTTGTTCATTGCATTTTTATGGGCTGTAGTAAAATATTTAATATTTGTTATGCTCAAGTCCATCCATCCATCCATCCATCCATTATCTATACACCGCTTCTCCTCACTTGGGTGGCTGGAACCTATGCCAGCCGACTTAGGGCGAAGGCAGGGGACACCCTGGACAGGTCACCAGTCTACAGGGCCACACTTAGAGACAGACAACCAAGCACACTCACATTCACACCTACGGACAATTTAGAATTACCAATTAACCTCAGCATGTTCTTGGAATGTGTGGGACGAAGCCGGAGAACTCGGAGAAAACCCACGCTGCATGGGGAGAACATGCAAACTCTACAGAGAAAGATCCCGGGTGTCTTCACCGGGACGCGAACTAGAGACCTTCTTGCTGCGAGGCAACAGTACTAACCACTGAGTCACCTTGTAGCCCCTGCTCAAGTCCAGTTTCAATATTTTCCTGAAACTTAAATGTTTCAAACTGTGGAACTGATTCCCTGTTTGGTGTTTCTGCACTTACTTTGATACGAGTACAGACGCAGCATCTCTGGGACTGTCACTCACAACTAGATAAGACTGGAAGAAAATCACACTGTAAAAAACATGGCTCTGGGATATTATCACATCCTTACAAGTTTAAGTAGCTACAAACCAAACTACAAATATTACAAGACTGATCAAAACTTTGTTCTGATATTATGCTACCAGATTCTCTTAAAGGTTTCTCTTTGGTCACCTCAGATTGAATACACACTGATGATTTGTCTTTTTCTTTTTTTTTAGTTTTAAAACAGAGGTCACCGTGTTATAGATTGATACAGGTTACTCTGCGTTGTAACTGTCACGGAATTACAGCAGCAAAACTTTCAGGCAGTTTATTTATTTTTGAAGATGCACAAACAAGAGTCATGCCATTCAAAATCTACACCAGTCGCTCCAAGAAAAAAAAAACACACACCAGAACTATTTTATACATGCTTCACTTACCTTTGCAATAGCTAGAATCTGGTCCATGATGGGCTCTCTAGGCTTACTGCTCTCTGCCTCCAGATGTCCATCCAGACGATAAAGGTCAAAGGGTATGAGGCAAGTCATGGACAGCCACAACAGCAGCATGTAGCGAGTTTCCCAAGTCTTAAAAGAGTAGACAGCAAAACACACTACTGCTGAATGCTTGATCGATAAAACAAACACAAAAATTGTAGGAGGTAAATGCACATATTGCTCCAGAAGCTATTATTTTTTCCTCCTCACCTCAGAGTCTTTGGGATCCTGTCTAGACAGCAGATCTAGAACCGGCTGGACGTCAGCCACCTCATGAGGAAAAAGCTGCATGAAGATTTTATAGCCTCTGACCTAGCCAGAAACAAATAAATAAATACAAACAATCTGAGGACTCTATGGCCAAGCAGGATTACAAAATAAGCTGGATAAGTGACGCGTGCAAAGAAATGTCATGAGAGTATTGTTTCAGACTGACCTTACAGATGATGTAGAGAAACTTGAAACCCAAATGAACCAGTGAAGGTGCAGACTCTTCACTCCTTACTATGTCCAATATCATGTTCAAAATCCATTCTAGTAGCAATTTAGAGGGGAAAAAAAACAACATGTGCGTTTTCATAACATACAGAAGCCAAGATTTTCTGCAGCACGAGCACAAACTGCATGTTTAGTTTCCATAGCTCACCTAGATGAGGGTCCAGCAGGTGAGGCTGCTCTTGGTATCTGTTCATGAGCACTGCAGGAGGAAAACAACAGACTGTCAAGAACTGTGAGCAAGCCAGAGTCACCTATCCAGAGCTGGACACGGTGTATTTAGGGTTTCCTCTAAATCTGTCTCACCTAAGAACCTCTCTGTCGTGGACTCGCTCGTCCCCATGTCCCCGTGGACCTCGGGCAGGCTGGAGATCAGGGCTCTGGTCTCTGCGCCCTCACTGAAGCCGCCCAGGACACAAGTTTTGACAATAGCGTCCGTCTCTCCTCCTTCGCCACCGGAACAACCGTTGTCTGTCTCCGATAGAGCCATTCCGCTAAACTTTCACGCACAAAAAGTGTATTTGCTGCAGAGTTACACCTTCTTTTGTCCAAGTTGTGGAATAGTTAGCTAGCTAATATTAGCCTTTACGCCTAGAAAATGAACTGGTGAGGATGGAAACGAGCAGGGAAATTATCGGGTTTAAAAAAAACATACAGCTACAACACGTTGTTGGTCTAAAGAGTATTGACCTGAAGCATGATTTCGCCCAGAGTGAACCTTTTCCAACTTCACACAGTCTAGATACTGGTAATAATTCTGCTAAGATGCACTCTGTAGCCCGTGTGTGTTGATGTAGCCTAGCTGCTGAAAACCTGCGTCCCGCCCCAGTACGGCAAGCAAGACGGTTCAAAACCAGTCACAGGTCAAACGATAGGCGTGTTCCCATAAAACGCAAAATTATTTACCAGATTTATGTATTTAAACCTGAACACGGACGTTATTTTTTAGGAGGGCTGGTAATGTTTACTGCTCTCTGTTAGGACAACACACCACACTGTTCATACTGTGTGTGCTGTCCTCACTGCAGGTAACTGTGTGCTGCTAGACAGCCAGCGAACTATTTAAGAAACTCCACACACAAGGCTTGCTTTTCTTATGTTTATGGAGATTTCTCGTGACAATTAGTAACTGAAACAAAACAGAAAAATGCAATTACGATACGTGTGGCATGCTAACACAAACAGCTAACTAACACACATACATTACGAACTGCTCATGGAAACAGCTTTATACAAATGCTTTATACAGGCAACACTTACAAAGACGAAAATTTCCCCAGGCTCAAACGCTCCAGAACCGACACAGATGCACATCCGAGGTTCCCCAGACCTTGTCTCCGTCACACCGCCGGCCGTTTCTCCCAACAGGAAAAACGCCGAAAATCGTTTATAGTCAAGACGAGCGCTCACGCTGACGTAACCAAAACGACCCCCCCTGAAGACGTCTCACGCGGATAACTTTTTAACCGTAGCTTTATAACGGTTTTTCCTATGAAGTTAACTTATTTATTTATACATCATGAACTTATTTGTAACCTTTTCTCTAACTTATCATTCGTGAAAATATTAATATCTTTGACCCAAAGACATGACACTGTGTATACAGTGTATGTATCTCACAGCTTACATCCACTGTTTATACAGTTCATACTGTGTTTTATCCCTGGCTTTATATTTACATCGATCTATCTTATATTGTTATTTATCTGGAACACTTACATTAGCGATGGCTTATTGTATTTATATACTTGTCCATATCACTCCATACTGTTCATTCTATTAGGATGTATTATATTCTACATGCAGCACATACTACAAAATAAGATTCTTGTGACAGAAAATACAACAACATGAGAATAAATGCAGTGAGGCAGTAAAGAGACAGTAAAATTTTACTGCCTCTTTTGCCCTTCTGGTTAGCTGGTAAAGTGCACTTCATTATCTTTGCACTTTCACTCTGTGCCATGACAATAAAGTTCAATCTAATCTCATGTTTAATAGCACAGCCCAGATCATTGTATAGGTTCAAATAAAGTTCATACAGTTTTGTGATTGTAAACCTGTAAAAAATTAGAGGGCATACAATTTTGTTTATTCAAGACCTAGGAATTATAACTAACCAGATCATAGTCCATCCATTATCTATACACCGCATAATCCTCACTAGGGTCACGGGGGGGCTGGAGCCTATCCCAGCTGACTTAGGGTGAAGGCTGGGGACACCCTGGACAGGTCGCCAGTCTACACTTTGAGACAAACAACCAAGCACACTCACATTCACACCTACGGACAATTTAGAATCACCAATTAACCTCAACATGTTTTTGGACCTTGTGGGACGAAGCCGGAGATCCCAGAGAGAACCCACACTGCACAGAGAGAACATGTAAACGCCTCGCAGAAAGATCCCAGTTGTCCTCACTGGGACGCAAACCGGTGACCTTCTTGCTGCGAGGCAACGGTGCTACCCACCGAGCCACCTTGCAGCCCACGAGATCGTAGTAAAAAATAATCATGCACAAAGACAAAATCTTAAAAGAGCTAAAAAAATAAATAAATAAATAAAAAAAATATGGGTGCATAAAAAAAAGCAATGAAACATGTATGTTCTAATATAATTCAAAAAAAGTAAAAATATACATCTAAAACTAATTATTCATCTATAAGTAGCAATAAAAAATAAGGTAAGGTTTTGAGTATGTGTTATTACTCAGCTTTATGCTTGGTAGCAGTCAAACAATTGGGGGAAGAAGTTAGTGTTCATCCTAATGGCACATAGTAAAACATTCAGTAAGAGGTGACTGCTTTATGATGACATGGTTTGATCCAATTCACTTTATCGGTGTGAATATCAAGGAAACAAAATGGCCAAAGTAAATGGCAAAAAAAGAAGAAAAGCAGTTAATATGTGCTCTGTGTATGTGTCATTTGCATAATGGTGATTGATCAAATGATGAAAAATTCACAACAGTTTTAATATGAGATAAATAACAAATGCAGATAGTCTGAACAAACACTTTGGATCTTCTCAGGGTTTATTGTTGGTTAAGGAGTGGACAACAAGGATTTGCAAGAATTTATTGTTATACAGGATCATTGTTCCTGCAGGATAATAACAGTGAGGCTATCATAATGCATAATTGAAGGTATTGCATTCACTGTGAAAATAAGACATCCTTTGCACAGTAATATAACGTAGTCTGGTCAAATTCAGACAATTAAAAATCTTAATATGTTAAGAAAGGAATTGCAGCATACCAAAATATTCGATGTAAGACCAGCTTCTTCATATTTGTTCTTGTGACAAGCAATGCTCATGAAGCATTCCCAATCTTGAAAAAAAAAAAAAGAAGAAAGAAGGAAAGAAACAACCAATTTAAGACAGTAACTGAAAGATTTAGATTATGTTTACAAATCTGACAGTAGACTGATGTATGTGGAGCTGGCATTGCAGAACTGCATTTGCTATGCTGATTCTGTTTTTACTAGACAAATATTGCAGGCATTGAGATATGTTGGAATGTTTTGTCTCTACAACAATTAGCAATACTGTTTTGGTCAATTAATACATAATGCTAAGCTTTATTTTAAGACTGTAAAGCTTTCTAAAAGTAACTGGGAATGCAATTATTTCAGTAGGTCCTTCATAACCCTTATTGAAGAGCCTCTGTAGCTACCACCAAAGTGATTCCAGTGATTCAAGTAGTGGAAGAGTTGGTAAAGCTGGTTCCTCTTTGCAAATCCTGGTGCCTGAGGAATCTTTTCATGGTAAGCTGAATAAAAAGACCGACTGAAACTACCAAACATCCCGGCTATACCCAGCTCAAACTCTGAATGGCCGTAGAAGGAAGCAGGGTCAAAGATGACCGGGCCATCTGTAGACTCTGCAACATTGCCTGTCCACAGGTCTCCATGGAGGAGAGCAGGGACAATCTCCACATCTGAGAAAAACTGAGGGATCTTCAGCTGTAAATAACCAACATGTACATTACACTATTAGTTTACTGATACAGTCATAGAGACTTGTGAAAAGTAGATTTAACTTGTGATGGGGTTGAAGGAAGGGTGCACCTGTAGCTTGGCCCATAATTCTCTGGCTTCTCTGTCTCCATACGATTGTTCCACCAAGTTCAGGTGGTGCTGCAGCCTCTGCTGGGAGTAAAATGTCACCCAGTCATTCTGCCACTCATTTACCTGGGGAAGTAAGGAAAAATCAGAAAGCTACAGTGAAAATGCTTAGGATGATTCTGCATAACTTGAAGACTGCACATACAGTATACATCAGAAGTGACTACATTCCTGTATAGTATCACTTAAATGTAAAATTATTCAAAAATGTTTCACCTCTCAATAATTGCATTATTTCTAAGTTGACAAGTGGAGTGTTTCGCCTTATGAAATGATGAGCAACTATCCTACTGTTGAACTTCAAAGTAATGAAAGTAATGGAAGATGATACAATGTTGAATTATTTGAAAATTAACTGACATTACTCACTTATGTTGTATACTATATTTACTACATCTTAGAGACAGCGGTACACACCAGTTTTACCTAGTACATGGGTAAAGTGTTTTTTTGAGGACTTTTTTTTTGTACCTGTGGTATATATCCACAGCATGTAGCGACATCGAAGCCAAATTTTTCAACAACAGCAACCTCTGATTGCCCAGCTCCTTTTCCTGCATACAGTCAAATACAAAGAAAAATAAAATTAGGAGGTCAGTTTAAATATGAGATGAAACTGTTTTTAAGTGTGGTAATAGCAAGATTTTATTTTTTTTTTTTTTTTGGTGTAAATCAGTAAAAGTGAATTACCCACTGTTTGCTGCTCCTTATTTAATTTTTCCAGCTGTCTCTTGTTGTGAAGATGCATATCTGCCAGCTGATCTCCTAGCTGCTTTGAGTACCTACAAAATGAATTTAAAAATGAAGTATTTGATTAAAAAGAAAAGCAGGATGCACCTTTACTATAGCCTGCACTGATGCAGCCAAAAAAAGAGATCTTACTTATTAAGACCTTTCATGTCCAGGTGTTCCATCACAAACACACATCCTCCTCTGTCCAGCTCAATCACTTTCATGGGCTTGGGGACTTTTACTGTTTCCGACTTTACAATGGCTTCCAAACTGGCCATTTCCCCATCAAACATTAATTTGGCCTGAGTAAAACAAACAAACAAACAAACAAAAACATTCCGGATTAGTGAGAAGTGTAGTAACACATGGCTATGCACTTTTCCATGTGGCAAAATAAATAAGTGCATTGCTTTCTATTCAACAATGTCTGCACAAAGTCCACTGACAGCAGCATGCAGAGGCTGCAGCTGCTGGAACATTCTCTATTCATTTATGCTGATGAATTAGCACAAATAGAAGGCCTTAGGTGAACTAACCAAATGTTACCACAGTCAAATAAAATAATACAATTAAAAACACAAATAATGAACTCATAAACTAATAAATACCTCGCTTTTGTGATTGATCTTCACAAACACTCTCCCAAAGTCAGTATCATAACTCTGGCCCTCGCTGATGCATCCACCTCCAGAGTGGCCGGTCGATTTTAGCGTGGTTGTCCCCAATTCTTTCTTTAGCTTAGCTTCCATGTTTGCTTCTTAAACCCAGTGCTAATAGTTGCACTAATACCATAAACGCATTGCAAATGCAGTTCCTGAAGTTCAGGGGGCGTTTTCGAGTTTTTCCGTTGCTTACACCAACGAGGACTCTGGCTCAGGGATGAACTTGTTTTTCTTCCGTTGTACTAATATAGGTTGAAAGGTGACCAATCAGAAACAATCATCAGATGATTGATCTGTACTTCGTCCTATCGCCACGAGGGCTCACGGTCACGTGAGCGTCGCCATGGTGCCAAGTGAGGCCACAGCGGCTACAAGCTAGCACAGCGTCGCTATGCCTCTGTGGGAAAACCGAAATGAGCAACAAACATACGTGTTTACTTCTTGGAGCGACTGGTGTTGGAAAGACGTTGTTAGTCAAACGTCTGCAAAATATCCTTTGTGCCCATCTGAATGTTTTGAACTAGAAGTAGAAGAAAATAAATACTGCTTAATAGCTTAACAAGCTAGCTTATTTAGCACGAAGAACTCGTGCAGTAGTAGCTAATTATTCAACATAGCTAATGGTGTATGTGTTTTTCCTCGACTTGGATAGGAATTCGTCGTGTCATTTTGCACTGGTTTGCGTACAAATGCAGTTACAGAACTGTTAGCTGTCTGTAAACATGCATATTAGTGGTATAAAGCGTATTGTCATGATATTGTAGGCTATTACACTGTTTGAAAATGCATACAATAGTAAAACGCCCACATTTCAAACAATATATGTTTGAATTTAACACTAATACCAAGTTACATTTACAGCATTGACTCCTGTTGATATTTTTCCTAACAGATTTTATTTACTGCTCAATTTGCATGGTTTAGGTGAACTGGGGACACCTCCTTCAACTCTTCCTACTGTAAGTACTGATAAAATGCAATGTATTATGAAGTGTTTTGAAGTGACACCTTATTCCTATCTCCAATTTCTGTAAACCTCCACAGGTAGGAACCAATCTGACAGACTTGACCCTGAAAAGGAAGAAGGTGACAGTGAGAGAGCTGGGAGGATGCATGGGCCCCATATGGCCCAGTTACTTCAAAGACTGCTCTTCTGTCATTGTATGGTCTTTGTATACATATTGCATTTGTTTGCAGTATTTGACAGAGGTAGATTGGTAATTGACTGTTGGAATTATTTGACTGAATCTTTCTTTCTTTGTCTGTTTTTGCATAGTTCATGGTGGATTCTGCCAATATTGCTCAGGTATCCTCCTCGTGTATCCAGCTGCTTTCAGTACTCTCAGCGGAGCCTCTGCACAACGCCTCTGTGCTTATTCTCTTTAACAAGAGGTGACACTGCCAGCACACACATCCCTATGCATTGTGCATCATGAATTTGCATCTCGGGATAAGCACTTCATGACATTGCTTGTTATCTGATTTTTGTTTTTCAACCTTTTCCAGGGACATGCCTTGCATTATGAGCCTTATAGAAATCAAGTCACTGTTCAGGATGGATGACATTGTCGCATCGGCCACTCAGCCAATCACGACGCTGGAACTCAGTGCCCGCTCCGGGCAGGGACTCCAAGAGGTGTTGAGGTGGCTGGAGTCCACTGCAGTAAAGTGATACATATTCGCTCTGTACATGATGATGCTTATCTCACAAAACTCTGAAAAATGGTTTCATGCCTTTTGGCCCACAACATCAGTATTCTCAGTTTGAAAAGGGACACTCTTTTTAGAGGCTTTAATGGTGTGTTTAGTGTTGAAATGTATAAAACTGTGACAAGGCAAAAGACTAGAAAAAACTGTTGTCTTTGGTAACATGTAAAAATGATTATCATTTATAAAGGTGAATGGAGGAGGAGATGTATAAGTGATATTATTGCAGGATGAAATGATTGTGTTGCTGGCCTTTTAAAAACATCTGTTAAAAAAAAAACACCACTGTAGGCCTTACTTGAAGTAGAAAGGTATTTATACAGGTCACTTTTTCTAATTAATTCTAATGTGGGGGATTAACATCTTACTGTAGCGTGATCATAGGACTGGCATGGAGAAAAGCTCATGCTACTGTATGTGTGCTCTTCAACTTTTTTACAACTCCTAAAATGTAATGAACACATGTAAGAAGAGCTCCTCTCCTCAGATTGGTTACTGTAAGTGTTCACAGTGATTTATTACCAGCAGGGGGCGCAAATTGCACAACAAAGACTGAATCTGGCACTGGGTGTGGGCCTGTGTTGTGATTATCTCATATGTATCGTATTGATAGCAAAGGAAATGAGAAAATGCAAAACAATAAACCCATCAGAAGAATGAAACAGTGTTGTAATTACACCCTTATATTTGATGTGTCAGTGGTTCACAAGCAATGAATAAAAATCTCATTCATACATTTTCAAATTCTGCCTTGCTTATCATGACTTCTGCAGCTCTTACAGTCCTCCCAAACTATGATTTCATTGAGCAGTTAATTTCACTAGAGTAAAAATTGTGTGTACACCAATATTTCTCATCAGTTCTGGTCCAACTGAAGCTCCATATAGCTAACTGTGTTGATGCAGTGATGCTGCAGGCACTGGACAGGTCACTTCTCAGAAATCAGTCTTGAAAGGAGCCAGAGAATGCATTGGCCAAATCCATCACCCATTTGCCTGGTATTTGCAGCCAAGTTCAGTGACAACAAATTATTATAAATATGTGCTTTTGTGTAGTTTGTATCTGTAGTCAGTTAGCAACAGGTTATGACCTTAAGGAACTTCTACATGACACTAATAGCTTCAGATAAAATGTGTTATTTCTTTTATGCCCTTTTACTGCATTATTTCAAAGAGGAGCAGGATATGTAGTTGCAGTGCGGGGCAGAACCATCTTGCATCAATCTAAGGGTTACTGTGCTATACAGCAATATAAAAACAACTAAGAATAGGTTTTTCATACAAGTCCTCTGGGCTGCAGTTTTGTCTGCAGTTAGAATGATATTTCAAGAGCATAACCTAATGGCGTTCCCCTTTTTTCTACGATATTTTTCTCCAGTTTAGTTGGTCCTCATAAGAAAGGGTTCTGACTGCTCTGTGCAGACTGTGAGCCCTGAGCACTAGCTGAGGAAAACGGCAACAAGGGCTCGGGGAGGTTCCCTGGCAGGTCCAGACCAGGCTGGGTGGGGTGGGTGAGTGACGAAGGGAGGGAAGCACCCTGGTGGCTCATAGGCAGGGGCAAGGAGGCACTGTATGGAAGTGAAGTGGAATGGGGAGCCGCAGAGGTGGAGCCCATCTGATTCAGACTTAGTTTTGGCTGCTCGGTTTGGAATGGATTGGTGGCTGAAGGAGCAGTCAGGCCTAGATGGAAAGAAACAAGAACGAGAAGAGTATTAAATTTACTTTAACCACATGTTCAAATTAGATTTACCATTTCTGAGACTGCGTCTAGAACCTGATGAATCGATCACTGCTGTTGTCTCTGACTGCACTACAAGTGCAAACAGAGAGTGATCATAAAACTCTTTAAACCTCTGACATTTAAAGCCTGCCTACAAAATTAAACTTGCATTTTTTAGCAATGTCATTACAAAATGACAACAGATGTACAAAAGTTGGTCACCAGCAAGTAGAATCTAAAAAGTTCATTGTCACAATTTTAGGTTGAAAGTTGGGTTTTATTTCATACAGAAATACAGTGGTGATCTATAGCCTACAATACACATATGACATAGTAAATGTAGTAGTGATGTACACATACCATTTTAGGCTACTTTAAATATAGACTTGTGGTGACTGTTGCTTCTACAGTCTATAGCACAATACATACCTGATAAAAAGGGGTTCTTGGTCTTGGCTTGAGGGTTTGCTGGGATCAAGGTGTCCAAGTTTACCAAAGAAGCTGCTGTGGGGCCCAGGAAGGCCTCAGGCGTCCGGCATGCACGAGGGCTGGGTGCAGCCAGGCTTTCTCCGAGACGGGACAGGTCAAAGAGCTCGGGACTGCCTTCCCCTCGCCCATTAACATTCACCTCACCACCATCCATGGCGTCATCAAACAAGTCACCATCTAACAGCAGAAAACAAGAGACAATGTAAATATGTGGGAGGCACAAAAGCAGAGAAAGTACAGAAAGATAATGCGTTGTTTACCCGAGGGGCTTCCAGCTCGGGGAGAAGGTTCCTCGACTCCTCCTTGGGGTGCTGTTCTTTCCGATGGGGCTAAGAATGGATCAACTCCTGCTGAGGCTATAGATATATAAATGTGAAAACTGATTTTAATGATCTACATCACTTCATTTATTTAGGCATATGAGGGCCGGTGAGCACACACACTCGCCTGTGTTTCCAGGGAAAGCCCACACTTTCCCGACAGGATTGAGGTTGGAGACATTGTTTTGTGGTGCATCCCAAGGGTTGGCAGGGGGCTCCCAGGGTGGAGGAGGGCTGTTGGAAGGTGGAGGCACCATCCAGGGAGAATCCGCTCTTGGGATGTTAGTGCTACCTTCTTTAGCGATACAGCAGTGAAGTAAAGAGAGGAGTTAGTTAGCGTGTGAGCAGTTCAAATTATATTGTGCAAATGAAGATACATCTATTCAGTAAAGAAGAATTTATAATATAAACTGCATTTCTTGGGCTGACTCCTAATTGGAATATTCAATTATAAAAGACTATATGCTTCGGTCATGGTAAGCTAAGTCAAGGCTCACCCAGGGAGTCCCAGGGGTCTGTGCCCCCAGCGCTGGCAGCAGCCTGGTGTGGGGCGTTATTCCAGCGACGGTCACTGGGAGGAGCATCCGTGGGTACTGCAAAAACATCTACCAGGTCCATAAAGGCCGTCTGACCACACAAACAAGAGAAAAAAATCAGTTTAAGTTCAGCATATTGTTTCACCACTTGATATTTGACTTTATCAGGTTTGAAATTTTTTGCAGCTGATAGTCATATCGCTACAGCTGATTTTAATCTCGGTCCTTGATGAATAAACGCATGTTCCCACATCGATAGTTATATTTCATCACCCCCATTGAGATATTTCATACCCCAATATTTCATACCCCGCCTTTAGACTCCATTTCTCGTTTGCTCTCCTCCAGAGCTTTCTGGAGCAGCGACTCATCTCCTTGGCGACTGAGTTGCTCCTGTCAACAGATATACAGACACATGGACGCCTTTAGGCATAACTGCTTCTGGCAAAATTCGCATACTGTCACATCATAGTAAATTTATGACTCGGCTACAGCGCACAGGAACAACAGCAAACTTGTGTTTTTCATAGGCGACATACAGTATGCGTGCATTTGGCATGCACTAGAAAATTCTCTGGTCAAAGAGAGGAGAGAGCAGAGCAGAGCATCATGGTGATCTCTAACAGAGCAGTTCTATTGTGCTATAGTATATTAGCATAGAGAGAGAGAGAGAGAAAGAGAAAGGGAGGGAAGAGACAAAGAGAGGGAGACAGGAAATGGGGGTACAAAGGCTGCAGAGATAATACGACACAGTGATAGTTACAGAACTTTCAGCAAAGCACAAGGTTTAACACGAGTTAAACATTTGATAATGAGAAGTATAATCATCAAGAAAAGGCAAAAACACAGAGGATAAATCCCACTGCAATGAAAAACTTGTTAGGTCAAAGAGAACACACTACATTGTTTAAATCCTAACTGTTGGGAGTCATTTAAGATTTCAAAATCACTGACTGATTTTCAGATCATGTGGAATTTTTAGTTTTGCAAAATATCATCTTGACAGATGGTTTAAAATATTACAAGTAGAGATATTATGTATTGTTTCAGCAGCAACTACTGTGATGTACATATGCAGAATAGTAAGTAGGCCAACTAAACTGAAACACATGATGCTGCAACTTGATTTGCTGCTTGATATAAAACGAAAACTCACGCAGCTCTCATTTTCCATGACTAATCCACAAGAGACGCCTGTCTGATACAACATTACTTACTGTCATTTAAGGGTTTTTAGATCGAATGAGCTTTTTTTTAATTAAAAGACAGAGTCTGTTGACATGCAGGCTCCACATGTGCACAGCAGAATGAGCGAGGAACACTGAAAAGGAACATTTGGTTGCAAAAAAGAAATGCAACATCAGTCACGAGGGCTGCACTTCAATCTAATTCATGATAAACTTTCTCTCGCTACATCCACGGGGGTTCGGTGCCTCCCCAGTGGGACTCTACCTGCTGGTGTTCCTCCTTGCTCAGGCTCAGGGCTAGCTGGAGCTGGGTTTCCTCGTCCATGTCCGCATTGGCAGCAGGTGGGGGTGGACGCTGGACTGGCTGTGAGAGTGTTAACCAAGGAGGAAACTACAATCAGTATTTGGTCAACAAAGGTCAAAAGTATTCTTAGACATCGTCACAGTACATTGCATGCAATTCTACAGCCGTCACATAGTAACGGGGTCAGTCCCTTTGCACCTCCCTGACACCACACCAGAAGGTCAGAGTGACTGAGACGTGTATCTCAGACAGCTGGACTAAGAGGAGGAATCGAGTGGTTAGTAAAACAGAGGGATGAAGTTATAGTTGTTTAATGTCTACAGAAAGTTACATGTCCTTGTGCCGTTTGGAAGTGAGTAAATGATGGAGGTCATAGATCAAATCTAGGGAGGAGACAACGTGAGTAGTGCATGCAGTTGTTTCTCACAGGGGAAAAGACTGGCTGTGAGGTTGGTTTTAGTGTACAGAGCAACAGGAGATGTGCTTAGAGGGCAAAGGATGCATAGGAAGGGTCATCCCTTGTCCCACCATACTTGTACCTTCTGGGCCTCCTCCTTGCTGAGACTCATAGCGATCTGGAGCTGGGTCTGCTCATCAATATCCACTGTGGGAGGTGGCTAGGGTCAAGCAGGAAGGATTAGGAGGAAGACTAATCAAAGGGGAAAGGTAAAAGCATGCTTGATTTTTCTGAGGCGGTCAATTACAAGATCATTTAAATAACCCAATAATTACAGGTTCCTCCACAGAGAAGAGTAACATAGAGATCAAACATACGGATCTCAATTTGCTCATCAAATTCACAGACGATTGTTTGATTCCAGAAGTGGAAATGGCTGAGCGCTATAGTCTCCTATAGTGGCTGAGCGGAAGCCTAAGCGGGCAGCGGCTGCCCTTGCCTTTGAGACTAGGGCAGGCTGTGGGTGCTTAGGAAGGGATCAATGCACACATCCTGTCTGGCTTCTCACTCTTTCACTCACAGCTTCCTCATGCTTCAGCATCACTCACACTGATTGGCCAAAGTGCCATTATTGACTACATCAAAGATTTGATGATATCACTTTCTGTTAACAGTTCTGGGAAAATGGTGGCCCAGAAGACAAAGGGAGT